TTGTAAGGGTGCCGTACTCTATTGGGGTCCTAGAAAGGGGACCCAAATGTAGAGAACTACCCATACTATGCTACACTGTACCATACTCTACTCTACTATACTATACGATGGTATACTCTACTCTACTCTACTCGACTAGACTGTAGTATACTATAAGGGTTCAGGGTCTGCTAGGCCTCCATCCGAAAAGACGGAGATGATCTCCTCTGCCCAGCCGCAGCCCACGATGATAAGATCCAGAGCCATGAACCTTAGCCGCCCTCAGAACCAGAATGAAACTATAGGATTTGGGGTTTAGGGTTTAGGGTCTATTCATTCTCTGGAGCAAAAATAAAACATAACTCCGAAGAGCAGTCAAGGAACCAGTCACTGAAAGATGCTCTCAAGCCGAAGACGCTCAGCAGGGCGGCGATTTCGAGAGTATAAGTCACCAGGCAGAGGCTGGAAATCAACGAGCTGATCTCCGGTGGTTGGGTACCGGCAGCTGTTGCATCGATGTCTACACAGGTACAGTATGCATCAACCAGAACGACAGCTGCCATGAAGTTTGCCAGGTAGATGCTTTTCAGGAAGTCACTAACCCTGCTCTTTCGGTCGAGGTGTTCGGTGGATGCCTGGACGAACTTGCCGGCAACCTTCATGTTCTTCTTGCCACCCCTGTCTTTGCTGGGAAGTCTGGACATCTTCGGCGCCAAATCCGGTCTGTCCTTGGAATCGGCTCCCTCCATGGGAGCAGACACCCTGGCGGGCTGGCTAACAAACAATGCTCGCCGGCACCTGAGCCCGAACGCAGAGAGAATCAAACACGTCAAAGTCGGCGAAGATCGCGCCACGACTCTTACCAGACCTGAGTTTCCGTTTTTGCAAACACGACATTCCGCTGACATGGGTGGGGACTGGTGGCAATGAGAAGCTATGATGACATTATCAGCCATGTGTGTGAGCCCTGAATCCCGCAACCCACGGCATTGCGGCAACACCCGACCCCTCTGCAAACCCCTAAAACCCACAACCCGAAAGACGCAAAGCCCTAACAACCCGCCAAAAACTCTAAAAACCCTACACCCTTGATCCTCATGCCAGATGACCCACAAAACCTAATCGGGCAAACCAATGCATGCAACAACCCCAGGAGCCGAGAAGATCATGCGATTTGGCAGCCTAAGTCTAAGCTTTGCTTCCTTTCAACCTGGTCGCCGAAGGTTCGGGGGTTTTACTTGGAGGATCATGGGACTTAGTACATAACGTTATAAGTACCTTAATAGGAGTTATAAGTAATTATAACTATAGTTACCCTATGTATAACCCTAATTACCAAGTCCCATGATCCTTTAAGTAGAGTTCCTGCAGAGGTTCCTAAAAAGGCTACTATATCTCACAGAGCGATCTCACCGACCCACTTTTTGTCGCTGCGAACGCTGTCTCCGAGAACTACTCGTCTGAGTCTGAGGGTGGGACAACCCAAGTCTTTCAAAGCACGTGGACTACCCACCCAGGAGTCGAAAGCTGAGAACAGAACTCCATGAGACCTCCCTGCAGCTTCAAAGACACTTTCATGCTTTTCGGGAGCGGCTTTTCAACCTTGTGGGAGATCACCTTCATGTGAACTATCCACCCGTCCTCCGCTTCTAAGCAAGGATCCTGCTCGCACGCCACTGTGGCTGAGCCCGTGCACTGGTGCCTCACTGAAAGACCCGTTTCTATCGTATGACGATGAGTTGCAGCTTGCATCGAAGAAAAAGGGCGTCAAAACTCCCCTTTTCAGCCTCCTCCTGAAAACCGGGTCCCTAAAGGCACGTGCACGGAAAACCCACCCGCGAGCCGAAAGCCCCGGCGCAGGATGCGGCACCGAGGCAAAAGCACAGAACTATTGTTATTGTAGTTATTATTACTACGAATGTAAACTATTATTATTAGTATTACCAATATTACCTATTAATCTTATTCTTGACATTCTTAATACTATGATTAAAGCCCCGGCACCGAACGGCCCAGGCAGGCGAAAAAGACGTTTCTTTTGCCAGGCCCCCAAGAACGGTTCAGGGTTTAGGGCTTATAGGGTTTGGGACTTATAGGGTTTAGGGTTTAGAGTTTAGGCTTTAGAGTTTAAGGTTAAGGGTCCTGGTCAGGCCCAACGAAATCCCAGAGATACAAAAAAGTACAAAAGCGAATGTCTTCGACACGTGGCGTCATTGACATACGTTGCTCAGACCCGGACAGTAGCCAGAAAGGGTGACAGTGAATGTCTCTCACATCCAGCTCTCCAAATGTTTGCGACTCTACACCAGAAATCCGTCACACCAGCATCGGGAGGTTCAAGCGTTTCCGGGTTGTTCCCACGGATAGCTTCGTCCAGGATGGCTCTCTGCAGCCAGGGCCCCCAAACAGGGCCGAAAGATGCATAAGGGTAAACGGACGTCAAGCGCTCGAAGACGAAACAGGGTAACTATATGACACTATATGAGACCACCTCGGGTGGTGTTGCAAGCAATGAAACTACTTGCTCAAAGCGCAGCTCTCTGAGAATCGGGGGAAGGCCTTTCAGAGGAGACATGTCCAGGGTTTAGGATTTAAACGGTTTAGATTCAAGTTTCAGCAGCGCAGCTCTACTAAGACTGGAAGGATTCCTGAATGAGGACTCCTGAAACAACATGTTTTAAGTCTCTGAGCACTCTCTTTCCAGTTTGCGATTTCGCCTGGAGCACGAGTGTGGGGAGCCCTGGCAGGAAGGACTTGGAAATTTGTCGGCATTGGGATCCCATCTAACCCTATACCCTAAACCCTAAACCCGATTTTTGCGAAATGAAACATCTTTCGGAGCTAGGCACTACCTGTTTCCCAAGTCTGGCCCAAGTTTGTAGCAGTAAGTCATAATAGCCACCGTCGCACGAGTACTCGCAATAGGATGGCCTTCGCTGGGAAAACTCAGTGAACTTTCAGTTCATGGGTAGTTGTCTAAATTAGGGTCCCTTTTGGGGTCCAGTTTATAAGGGTGCCGTACTATATTGGGGACCCAAAAAGGGACCCTAATTTAGGGAACTACCCTCATGACCACAACGGCCCGGCTCCTTCACTCTGTCTCGCGTATGCACTGGCGGCCCATGGGTTCAACCACAATTCTTGGCGAATGGTCCGGGCGCATCGTCCTGAGGAGACTGCTATTGAGTTAGGGACCCAAAAAGGACGTAAGCATAAGCATTTTATAGGGATATCCCTACCATATTGGGCTTCATTATAAGGGCATTTATATGGGATATCCCTATCCTAATTTTTGCTTATGTGCTTTTTTGGGGCCCTAATTGAGGCACCTGCATGTAAGTTATGTAATGGAAAACTCCCAAAATCGCCAAAACAAAACCCTCAAGATCAGGTGCTATTCCTCCACACCTAGCTGACGGGTGATTGTAATCTGCACATGCCAAACTATGCATGCACTCCCAAACTGCACGCTCCCGGACTGGTCCTGGTGGGGCTGTGGTTGCTGTCAATCAGCTCCGCCCTGTCCATTGCTTCGGCAAGTGCCAGGTGGAGCTGCTCGTATGCCCCCTTCGTGACTCCCCACACGCTCAGGATCATGGAAGCACAGGCACTCAGGAAAGTCAGCGGCGTCTCGTTCAGGTAGAAGGCAGAATAGTACTGGAGGAGGAGCGAGAGAGGCGCCTCGATCATCTTCTCACTTGTGACAATGCTCAAGTAGGCATCTGTAGGGTAACCAAGCCGTCGAGAATCCAGAATGCTTTGAAAGAGAGTGCATGGAGAGCCTCTTGAAAGCTCAGTCCCCAATGACAATACAACTATCACTGCCTGGGCGATGGCAAACACATCGTATCCGGATCTAGCATATTGCACAATGCAGTTCAGGTCTAAAGCAAGATCGACGGCGAGCAGCACGAATTCCACATCCATCTTTAAGCGATCTGCACGGGATCTCTCCAGCAGTCCCAACTCCATTCGCTCTCTAACAGATTGAGTCCTTTGCGACACTTGTGCTTGCAGGTTTGGATCTTTTGGTATCGTCCCGGGAAAGGAATGCTTGCCTCTCAAAATACCACTTGTCACCAGCATGATGATCAGGAGCAACAGGGAGGCAGGAGGAATAGATATAAATAGGGGAAAGGCTGATGACGCCGCCAGGGATATCGGAGTGTATATCGGATCCGATACAACTCTGGCATGCTGGCATGCGATCGGAGTTGCCAAGCAGATCGGGGCCAATCTGCCAAGCTGCTGACATGCAGCGTACTGTAACACGTCAACGTTGCCTGACAGGCAGAGCCATAGTAGAACGGGGGGAAGCCCGGCTGACTTGCACATGTTTGTACCATTTGGGCCGTTCCATGGCAGTGCCCGCGCATGCGGTTCCGTGCAATCAATGCCAGCGCCCCAGTTTGACCAGTTGCAGAATGCGTGCTGAACTTTCTGAACCCTTCCGTTAGGGCCCTCGGTCTGCCAATATCCATTTGCAATAGACACAAGTTGGCGCAAACTGGACGAGCGCACGCAATCAATCGAACTGCACCACGCTGAAGTCACACACCCAGCGGACCCAGCGTAAAGATGACGCGCGTCATGCTCATAAGAGCTGTTGAGGCCTTGCCAGTGGGCCCTGTCAACAGCTGATACATAGACTCCGTTGCATTCCGTTACTCTGTACGACAGCGGTTGGCACTTGGCACTGCTCGGATCGGATGTGTACAGACCCCATAAGAACGGACATGCAACCGCAGAAAAACAAGCAATCCTGACAACAATCGCGTACATGTAGAAGCCAGTTGCGGAGAATTGCTTGTGAAACAAGCCGAAGGCAGAGTAGCTCCTGGGATGCACGCGAAACTGTTAAGGCTCAGTGCTCCACATTCTTCCTAGCATGTTCAAAACCTTTCAGGAAAATAACAGCAGTCTGCCTGAAGAATGCGGAGCTTCGGCGGAAAGAATGCAAACAGAGAAAGCATGCTGGGGGAACATGCCGAAGCTGTGCTGCGGGCGATCCGGCCCGAACGGGACAATTGATGGGCACATCGTCCACATGCGCCAATGGCGAGCTGAACGAAAAGCGCGGCTGCTGCCAGTGCCAGGCTGTCGTAGATTTGACCAAACTGTACCAGAAGGAGAATGGACCTGGCTCACAACAGAAGGGCACCACAAGCTTCGGAACGGTCAGTCAGGGTCCAGAAGACTACTTGAGCACCATGCCAAGCACTGCAAGCGGTGGAAATGCAACAGCCGCCGCAAGCAGAGCCCACAAGATTAGTCAAAGGACCAGACCCTGAGGATAAGGCTTTGGGAAAATTGCACGGCGAGTAAGGTTGAGGACCATAATGCAATCTTTCAGGCTTGAAAGCTGTTTCGCCCGAGACGCAAGACTTCCACCATAGTACTTATCCAAACCATCCACAGCTCCCATGAGGGCTTGCCTGAGATGCAGGGACAAGGTCGGACGTCACGTGCATCACACGCTTCTCTGGCCGAGATTAGAGAAAGGTGAACTCTGTTCAGGCCTCCGGTGGTCGATGCAAGTAATTATGGCTCATCTAACTCAAGATGTGCCAACTTCATGGCCCCTTTGAGGAGCCCTTCTCGGAAAATCCGGTATTTGCACACAGCGCTGCAGTTCGGGCAAACAAAATGAACTCAAAACCCAGCTGGCAAGTCGCTTTCTGTCAGGACTTGCTGCGTTGCCAGTAGACGGGCCGATACATCACAGCGCACCATCCCGCGGGTGGAGCTTGAGAAGGCTGAGCAGAACTAAGATTCCCATGATTTAGGAGTCCTCCCATGAGGTACCGAAAGATAAAGCTTCATTGCAAGAAGCAAACCCCGAATGCCTAGCTGATGAAGGCATGAAAAAGCCAAACTCGATGGCTTGGTATCAGATCCCTCTGCAGCGAGACATAACCCAGCGAGCCACAGCTGCAGGATTAAAGGCTTTCAAGTATTCATGGGTTTTCGGGCTTCAGGTTCAAGCTTCTAGCCAACTAGCTCCCCAGCCTTCTTGGAAGCTGTGGGGGAAGTGGACGCTTGGCACGGAGAGGAGTTGATACATCATGCACATGACGGGGCTTTTCTCAGCATCGCTCAGTCTGGGAGAATCTGTTGGGCTATTTGGGGGTTTCCCAAAATAGGGGACCCTAAATATAGTACCCCCACAAATAGCGGGATCCTGACTGTAAGGACCTCGAAATAAGGTACCCCGTATTTTCGGAGACTCCCACTGAAGGCCGCATCAGTCCGAAAGGCCAGTGACCTAACCGACCCGACACCAGGCTGATGGGCTGAGGGTCCCGGGGACCCTCGGGTGCAAAGTGCCTCCAGCAGCTCGGCTCTGCACAAGCCGGTCACAAGCCGCCTCGTCCCAGCCCCGTTAGAGCCATGTACGGCTGCGAAGTACGACCTGTCAACATGATGCAAGTATCAGAAAAACAAGAGCGGTATTTGCTTTCTTCGCTTCTGCCGCCCGTTCCTACTTCGCCTTGATCGGGAGGACTTGCCTCGCCTGCTGCAAGAGACAACCCTCTCTCCAAGAGACGCATGCTTGGACTTCGAGTTTGGACATTGCCTAGCCATGCCCTTAAGCCCGAAGTCAGTCGGTGCCCATCAGTCTTTCCTGCCCACGCAAGCGCCGCGAGAGTCTGTACTTCCTGCACTGGCCTGCGACAGTTCAGCCAGCAGTTTTGCTGGTATGATGTCCATCATGGTGGATGATGATCTGAAACTAGGGCTACGAACCATAAAAACCCTAAACCCTAAACCCTAAACCCTTCACTTCCAACAACCTAGCATTCAGAGGCTGACAGCGGCTGCCCAGCGCAGAGCGGCCATCGCAGAGCAGGCTTCAGGCCTCGTTGCGAAGTGAACGGCTAGGGTGTAGGGTTTGTAGGGCTTTAGGAACTAAGGGTTTAGGGGTTTAGGGTCTAGGGTTTAGGGTTCGTAGGGCTTTAGGAGTTAAGGTGTCTTGTCTTAGGACGCTAGGGCTTTAAGGCTTAGCGTTTGGGGTTTTAGCGTGTTGAGGGTTCATTCCGGGGTTGTAACTGTAGGACCTCTAATGACTCGGGCTTGACACATCAGGCTACAAGACATCGGAGCCCGAAGGACATCTTGGGCTACCCCCAGCCACAACACTACAGCCTAAAATCTGCTGCACAAACCCTAAGCCCGAAACACCGAAACCCCGACGAAACCCCAAACCAGAAACCCAAAAAAACCTAAACCCTAAACCCCAAAAACACCCTAAACCCTAAACCCTAAACCCTAAACCCTAAACCCTAGCCATGCCCTAAAGCCCCTGGCCTTTCGCTTCGGCTCCGGAGGATCCTCCTTCTCCTTGCTCTTCTCACGAGACCGTCCCAGGGAGAGAGTTGAGATGCCACTCTCCCCGAACCTGACTCGGGGCTTAGGGTTAGGGTGTAGGGTTTAGTTTAGGGTTTAGGGTTTAGTTTAGGGTTTAGGGTTTAGTTTAGGGTTTAGGGTTTACGGTTTTTGGACTTTCGGGTTTGGAGTTTAGGCTTAGGACTTAGACTTTTGGGTTTAGGGAGCCTACCCTGAAGCCTGAAAGCTGTTTGGAGACTCGAGGCGGGTGTCTGTCAAGAGAACACTTCAGTCGAAGATTTGGGAAATTCGGGGCCGGACGCACTCGCTGTCTTCATGGATTCAGCACCTGAGCGCCTCTGCCGCGAAACGCAAACCGAAAGCCATGACATACGCTGAACCCCAAAATCGTAAACCCCAGACCCCCACAGCCCGAAACCCCACAAACCTTTCTGCAAGCTTCAAACCGAAAAATCAAAACCTGAACCCTAAACCGTCAAGAACCCTTCGAGCAAACCCTTCAAGTAACCCCGTTTAAGGAACTCTTAAAGGAGCATTGAAGGAATCCTCCTCAACCCTATTTACGGGGCCGAGCGACACCAATCTCACCTGAATGTCGGGCACCAACCCCGACTTCGGCCACGTTCTGTTGCCTGGGCTCTTTCTTGCTTAGAGGAACTGAACTTCAGGGTTTAGGGTTTAGGGTTCCTTGTTTTGAGGTTTAGGGTTTAGGGCTTGGGGTTTATGTAAAGGGGATCTATAGTAAATGATACACACGATAGGGTTTCCTTATTATGGCTTTACGAGAGCCCAGTTGCAAGGCAGCGGCTCCCAGCAAAAGTCGCCCACGGTGTTCTTGATGAACACCTCCCGGGGGGTGGGGGTTTAGGGCTTAGGGCTTCCGTTACATGCAATGGCCTAAGGGTTCAGGGTTTAGGAATTGAGGTTCAGGGTTTAGGGTGACTTTATCTGGTTCTTGCTAGGAAGTTTGATTCAAAGCTTGATGTAAGCTACCATATCTTACGTGTAAGACTACTGTGGCGGCCTTCGGATGAGCCTTTTGAGGTGATCTTTCTCAAAAATGTATTAGTATACTCTAAGGATAAATTTCGGGCTTCTACTTGCGGCTGGCTGCTACAGGGCCCTAAATCCACGACCCTGCGATCGGAACCCAATTTGCGTGAGGGAATTCGGCCTGTAGTGCTTGAGGGATTCTGGCTGCGCTGAGATTAGGGAATGGGTATTGGGTTCCGGATGTCAGCTGTCTCTCACAGTCTTCAAGATGGCGCCTTGAACTGTCCCCCAGGCGACGGCATGGGGATTCGATCTTTCCAGAGAGGATACCTGGTCCCAGATGATGCCTAAATTCCTAGAAGGCTGCTTGGCTCCTGTTGTGGGGTTCGGGACCTCGGCCTCCGGGCGAAGTCGAGGTGCTTTGGGCTTTGGATTCAAAGGCTAAGGGCTCTTACACAAGAAGGAGAAGCTCGAAATTGCATTGGGAGCCCATATCCTCGAGCACGATTCGAAGATAAACCTTAAACTCTACCCCAAACCCTAGACCCTAAACTTATGACATTGGAGGACGAGCAAGTCTGGTATCCATTTTTACGATTTGAATACGATCTAGATACTATGCCAAAATACGATTACAAGTTCCAATACGAATCCAAACTACGATTTGAATTCGATACCAGCTACGATCAGAACCATGTAAAGGTTCCGGCACGATTCAAACTACGATCCGGCTGGGTGCTTGGGTAGGTGGCCGACCGTACATGGAATCGTACTTTCTCATGTAAAAGTACGATTCCAAGTACGTTTCCTTTCCAGGTACGATCATACCTGGAATCGTACTTCTGTGGTGTCAAAGTACGATTCCAAAGTACGATTCCAAGTACGATTCCGGAGCCAAGTGCGATTCCAAGTACGGTTCCAAAGTACGATTCCAAAGCACGATTCCGAAGTACGATTCCAAGTACGATTCCGGAGCAAAGTACGATTCCATATACAATTCCAAGTACGATTCCAGGTACGAT